CTGTATATATATATATATACACAATGAATCTGAATGGTTATCAGGTGTGGTCAAGCTCAAAAAAAAAAAAAAAAGACTAAAAGCACCTAAATTGTCAAATATCATCTTTGTGCGAGGAACAGGCCAAGATGTGTCATTATTCACTCTCAAATATGTGTGGTTTGAATATAAACTACCATTCAGAAGTTTAGGGTTTCTATTCATAAAAGAACATTGAAACAATATGTATAGTTTCTACAAAAATATTAAGCAGCACAACTGTTTTCAATAACATTTTGAATGATGTTTCTTCAGCACCAAATCAGCATATTAGACTGATTTCTAAAGGTTCACGTGACTGGAGTAATGACTCCTGAAAATAAAATTAATATTAATATTTTGAAATATTACTGTTTCAAGTAAAAACAGTAATACAATTTCAAGTTTTCCTTTCTCTTTTGAGTGTTACAAGCTGTTCGTGAATAGGCAAGATCCCTAAAGTTGCAAATACTAAAGTCTCAAACCCAAAGAGACATTCTTTATAAAAGTTAAGAGTAGTCCACGCCTACCTAAAACGCCTCGTTTAAACACACCCCCTCCCACCCCACATCTACGTCACTGTGTGGGAAGATTTGCATAACACCGCCCAAATGTTCACACAAAGAAATAGGCGTAACTTTTATTCTCTCTGAAGTATTGTTGCCGCCGCCACCATGTCGTGGAGACGCTGTGTGTTTCGTTGTGAAAGCGAAAATACTTTGTTTGGCCTTCCAAAAGAGGACACAACTAGAAATCAATGGTTAAGTTGTATTTACAACACTGTTCCAGAACAGTTCAACCCAAATATTCAGATATGTGCAGCACATTTTATAGAGGACTGTTTTCTGATCCTGGAAGAGTAGCCTACAATGCCGGCTGTTCTGACTCACTAAGTATGTTTTCATATTTAAAGAATTTGCCACTGATGATTCAAACGGGATTCTTTTAACAGTGTAGAGTAGCACTTGTTGTTTCTCGTTTCTCCCATCACAAATGCGGACATGGTTTTAGGTTTACGCAGCGCGATGCAACGCAACGCGTAAAAAGACAGTATAAGTCCTTATAATCAGTAATTATGTCCCCACTGGATTCAACAAATGCCTTGTTTATAATGGGTTTTAATGTTTTTGTCTCGTCGCTCCGGCCGGAACAAGGCATCACAATATGGTAAGGGGCGTAACATTTGTGTCACATGCTTGAGGTAATCGGCCAATCACAACGCACTGGATAGCTGGCGAGAGCACACCTCGCTTTTCAGACCGATGAGCTTTGTAAAAATCAACGCGTTTCAGAAAACCGGGGCATAGAGGAGAAACAATAATGTACATTACGTGGAAAATGTGTTTTTTGAACCTTAAACCGCATAAACACTTCATTACACCAAATACACAACAATGTTATTTTTTAGCAACGTCATATGACCCCTTTAAGAAAGTTTGTACATCTGCAACTTGTCATTCGATAATCAGATATTGGTGTGCACGCTGAAAAAAAAAAACACGTTAAAGAGTCTCCAGTGCGTCACACGTGCATTCGAGCTGAAGTGTCTTCGCTGCCTCCACAGCTTTCAGTCTCTATAGGATGAGTGAAAGGCCCTAGTGAGGGGAAGTGTATGTTTGCTCTGTTAAATTGGGCTCTATCTCAGAGGCTCCAATTATGCTGGAGCCGGTGCAGTGATAAAGCCGAGCCATCAGAGGAGGAGGCTTCACATCTGCTGGGGCAGAGCAGGCAGAGCTGACGAGAGCATCAGGAACGCTTTAGACAGCACACTCACGCTCTCTCACTCTCCATCAGCTATTCGCCAGCACATGATCAAAGCTCCCCAGCCACCGCTGTGCATCTTAAGAATGCACATTCATTTTAGGGGCGATGGGAGAGACAAGGCAATGGGAAGAAAAGAGAGAGTAAGAATGACAGGGAAAGACCAGATGATGATGGACAGAGACAAGGCACAGAAAATAAAATAAAAAGAAGGAGTGGGGTGAAGAGAAAGGGAGATAGGAGTGATGGAAAGAAAGGTAGAGATGCACACACAAAAAAGTGTTGTAAAGTCAACAAGGTGTTCTACAAACCCAAAGCATACTTACAGGAATATGAGGTAGAGGCACTCGCCCATTAACTTTGGCACTTTCGTGTATCTCATGTCGATGCGGCTTACGATATCTGTAAGGTGGGACTCCATCTCTGTAGGGACAAGCATAAGATTTTAGTTTTCAATCTGTGCCAATATATAAAAACACAGTATATGAACTCATTATCTTCATATACCTTGTAAAAAAAAAAAAAAATTCGGTCATCATTTACACACCTGTATGTCTTTCTTTCATCCATGGAACACAAAAGGATATATTCAGCAGAATGTCTAAGCCAGTGTTGTTACTATTAACTATTAAGTATTGTTTTTGTTAACTGAAAGCTGATAAAAAAAAATTTAGAAGAAAAGTTATTAGCAAGTACTAAAATTGCTAATATTAAAAATAATATTAATACTAATAATTAATAAAACAGTAACACTTTACAATAAGGTACCATTAGTTTGAGTGAATTCATGAGCTATACAATTAAAACAGCATTTATTAATCACTATTAGTATTAGTTAAAAATGAAAAACTGTTCATTGTTAGTTCATATTAGCTCCTGTCCATTAAGTAAGGGATAACGTACATCCAGCCGGTTGTTAACCCTGAAGGAGGTTATTCTGCAATAACAATCGGCTGGATGTACATTACACGGTTAATTGCCACATAAGTAAATAATTAGACAAAATATTGATTGGAGTTGAAATATTTTAACGCAAAGCTTCCGTAAACACAGCAGTTGCGAGCAAGCGGCAAGTTCAAACTAGACGGACATTTAAGGGATACGGTGCAGTCAAACCACTTATTACACAACATTACACCACATAAATAATTATGGCGATAAAAGATTTAAAGGGGTCATATGAAGCGATTTCAAGTTTTCCTTTCTCTTTGGAGTGTTACAACCTGTTTGTGAATAGATAAGATGCCTAAAGTTGCAAAGACTAAAGTCACAAACCCAAAGAGATATTCTTTATAAAAGTTAAGACTCGTCCACGTCCTCCTAAAACGCCTCGTTTAAACACGTCCCCAACATGTCTACGTCACGATGTGGGAAGATTTGCATAACACCACCCAAATGTTCACACAAAGAAAAGGGCGTAACTTTTATTCTCGCTGTAGTATTGTTGCCGCCGCCGCCGCCATGTCGTGGAGACGCTGTGTTTTGTTGTGAAAACGAAACTACTTTGTTTGGCCTTCTAAAAGAGGACACAACTAGAAATCAGTGGTTAAGTTGTATTTACGATAGGGCTGTCAAAAAATTCGAATTTCGAATATTCGTCGAATAAAAACGTTGCATTCGAATTTTAGGTCTGCGTCAGCCGTCAGGCAGCCTATCAGTGGCGCAAGAAATGCGACGACGATGTAAGTGTCATTGCATTTTAATTATTTTGTTAGCCTATCCAGTTGAACCCACTAGATGCGGCGCTGCTACGTTGTTGTTCATTCAGTATATTGCGGAAAACGAGAGCATCAGTGTGGAAAAGATGTTCCTTACGTCAAAACTGAAACTAAGCCGTTCACACAGAACGTATATATCATCACATTTTCTAGGGGGACATCTATGAGCGTTGCACTTGCGTCTGGCACAAGAGAGCAGCATGTTTAGAAAGCCGTGTAAAATTAATGTAAGTTCAACTTTTAAAAAAACATGTCTCAAGACTTTATGGCGGTTTTCTCCCATCCCACTGTATCTCATGTTTTTAAATGAAGTAGCCTACTCTTTGTGATTGGTTTTCGGTCCTTTGTATTAAACTATACATACATGCATGGTGCGGTTTTTTTTTTCTAATTGTTTAAGCAACTTTATTAATTATATATGGTTTATAAACATTATTTTAAACATTATGCACTTTTTTTCCCAAAGATAGTCATGTTATTTTATTACGCTTTGAAGAAACGTGCATAATATTTTGCACGATGTGCCCTCTTGCGGCCTCAGGAGAAGCCAAAAGCTTTTTTTTCCCCTAACTGAAATTATGCCTTTTAAATTCTAATATAATTAGAATTTTGATAATATTTTAGTAGAAAATTCGAATTTAGTTTTTCAGTCATTTTGACAGCCCTAATTTACAACACTGTTCCAGAACAGTTCAACCCAAATATTCAGATGTGTGCAGCGCATTTTACGGAGGACTGTTTCCTGATCCTGTGAGAGTAGACTACAATACCAGTGTTCCGGTGAATTCAGTTCCCCTGTTTCCCCCTCGCCACGCATGCTGAACACAGTCTATGATGCTGACAAATAATGCTGACTCTCAGCCTGCAAGTACGTTTCATATTTAAAGGATTTGCTACTGATGATTCACACGCGAGTTTTGAGCAGTGTAGCACTTGTTTGTCATAAATGCAGACATGGTTTTATGTTAAAAATACAGTTTAAGTCATTATAATCAGTAATTATGTCCCCAACTGGATGCAACAAATGCCTCATTTATAATGGGTTTTATTGGTTTGGTCTCGTCACGCCGGGACACGGCATCACAGTATGGTAAGGGATGTAACATTTCAGTCACACGCTTGAGGTATTCGCATGCCTCCCATTTTTTGTGAGCGCGCGGACCAGTACGCGTGGTCAGTAGGCTACTGCGCATGCTCAGGCTGTGTGAAGAAGCCCGTTGCTACTCGAACCTGTACAATCCATCGATAAAACAATATAAAGACAGCCAGATGTGCAATAACTCTGGGCAATTCTTTGTTCACATGTTTGTTTATTGTTCAAGTCGATCTACTACGCATGTATGGAACACGTCCGCGGAGCGGACCATCAGCGTATGCTTTCGGAAGTATAAATACAAGTAGTACACAATTTTAAAAATCGAGTTTTAATATTTTATTAGCCAAACAAACGCAAAGCTTCCAACAAGAAAAACTGTTCCTAGCAAGAGTAGAGCGCCGACTTCAGTTACCCGGATGAGCCTGTGTTATCAGCTTTTACCGGTTGTTATCGAGGGATTACATACCTCGGAATGTCGCGACTGACCAATCAGAATCAAGTATTCCACAGAGCCGTGTAATAAATAATATTAACAGGTACAGCTTTTAATTTTCATAATGTATTAGCAGATGTTGTAATTAACATTAAGATTAATAAACACTTTAAAAGTATTTTTAATGCAAAGAGTTACTACAAAAACTAATTTTAAAAAAGCATATAAAATTCCTCAAATTAAAAGGAATACTGAAAATATAAAGATAAGCTAATTCAAAATACTAAATACTATAATAGAATATAAATAATACTAATGTTCTCTTCCACACAGGTAAGTAAATTGTGACCACAGCTTTTCACGGCTGTAAAGCTAAATTTTCAGTGAATATTTCATTCCGTTTAAAGTTATTATGTGGCTTCAGAATATATGACTTCAGAAGCCTTATGTACTTACTAGGGCTGGGCAAAAAAACCTAGATTTTTCGATTAATCGTTTTTTTAAAATGACGTCGATTCGATATCGATTCTCAAAAGCCGCGAATCGATCTTTTCCGGGATTTATTTCAGCACACATTTAAAACAAGATCTGATTAACATGAATCTTATTAGTCTTCTCCACTAGATGTCACCCTAAAAAACAGAAAGCCTGTCATTCATTCAGCGCTTATGGCCATACGCGTGATTCACAATGCTCAGGTGAAATGCTATAGTAATACTATAAATCTGCAGAAGAATTTGATATCACGCATAGGCGCCATGATTTCCACAATGAATGAATGGCGGATGGCGCGGTGCACTGTTTTGTTTACACATACTAAAGCACGGATGACGCTTGTGGTGTTTTCAGCTTCTGCCATCTCACTATATGATGATATGAACACGAATGTCATCTCCAGCTGCTCTGAGAGTCACTTCATTAGCATTTAACGTTTAATTTGAGAAAACTACCGTCATATCACATACACAGCAGCTGCAAGTTCTTCACGGCAACCCGTCAAAATAAAAGTTTAGTTTAACGTTAAGAAACTGTCAGAATATATTACTATTTAGCAGTCTTAAGAATCAATGCTACTACTGCAGGGCTCAACACTTTCCTTTTTAGGAGCACTTGTGCTCCTAACTTAAATTTAGGAGCACGTTCAAAATTTTAGGAGCACCTTCTAATCAATAATCCAAAATGTTATCAAAAAGTAGCCTTCCCATTACGAGGTGATATTTGACTCCTCTAACTTTATTAAAAGTATGTCATCTTTTGTCAAATTCTTAAATTATATTTTATAAGCTTTTAAAAATTGTAATTCAAACGACAGAATAAGAGTAGAATAAGAAACAAGTTAAAAATCAAATTAAATCAGTATTAACAAAATTAATTTGTAGAGGTGGCACAGAAGAACACAAAAGTGGCTTGATGTACTTTCAGACATTTAATGAGGTTCAGAAGTGGAATGAGTGCAATTAAATCCATAAATCCATGATGATATTAATGTTTTAAATATACAATTTTGAATATAGAAATATTAAATGATTTAAATAACTGAAAAGATACTTTAAAATGAAACTAATGAATTCAGGAATGAATCAAGTGACTGTCTTTATGAATGGGTAATTGTGAATCACTGACTCACTAGATTCGTTTAAAAAACCCTGTTCATTCATAAACGAAAAACCGCTGTGTTTGAATGGAGATGCGCAGCGGCTCTGGTGTGTCTTTGTTTTAAACTATTTTCGACGACGAAATAGAGCAAAATCAGACAATAGTGTTATAGTCAGACAATGTAAGTCACTTAATATTAACTTCTTGTTTATTGAATTGGAGTGTTTCCCAATTGGGGGTGGGGGGGGGGTAGATTCCGGTTTTTTTTCCTGGACTCCTTTTTAATGGTTAAATTACATTTTATTAATCAAAAAGCATTTCTAATTAATTAAAATCATGAAACTTAAACAATTTAACATCAATTTATTAAAAATTTAACAAATATTTCATTTAGGGCCCTATGAAATGTTTTATTTGTCCAAACTTATGTTTTATTGTAACCAAATTCTGTTTTAGCATGTCTAATTTGAAAGCATAAAACAAGTTTAATTTATTCTTACAATAGCCGTATGATTTTTTTGCTCAGAAATTCTGTTGTGTATTTACATTTTGTTTTAAGGCATAAAACATTCATTTAATC